AAACCAATCTCACGCACTTCACAGAAGATCACAGAGAGATGTTAAACCAGCCCATAACAATGCTGGAACTAATGGAAGCCCGCAAAAAACAAAAGAACAATAGGACTCCAGGACTGGATGGAATTCCTACTGAATTCTATAAACTTTGTCAACAATCTATAGACCAAATACTGTTACAAGTTTTTAATGAAGCATTATTGATAGCTGAAATTCCAAAATCCTGGACAGAAACTATTATTACATTAATACACAAAGAAGACTCAGATCCGACGCAAATTAAAAATTACAGACCAATTTCATTACTCAACGTGGACTATAAGCTATTCATGTCAATACTAGCTCAGAGACTCAAAGCAATAATACATAAATATATACAACCAGACCAAAATGGTTTCATACCTAAAAGACAAATCAAGAATAATTTGAGAATGATTATATATATTCTGGAATACTATGATCAGAAGATAGATAGAGAAATGGCCATAATCTCCCTTGATGCTCAGAAGGCCTTCGACAACTTAAATTGGTCTTTTTTCATAAAACAACTTGAACTAATGAACTGTGGAGAGAAATTTCATAACCTGATTAAAAAAAATTATTTCCAACAAACAGCAAAAATCTCAATAAACGGTGACATGACACAAATTTTTGATATTCAGAAAGGAGTACGACAAGGATGTCCCATGTCACCGTTAATATTTATAATAGCATTGGCGGTATTATTAAATGAAATAAGGAACGAGGAGGAAATCAAAGGACTCAAGATCCGGGGAGAGGAGTACAAATTGCTCGCCTTTGCAGACGACGTAATTTTCAACTTGGAAAACCCAAGATGATCTGGACCCAGACTGATATCGATGATAGAAGAATACAGGGAAGTCGCGGGCCTCAAAATAAACAAACAAAAAACAAAAATAATGACAAAAAATATGACCCAGACACAGAGCTTGGAATTAGAAGAAGAATTAGGAATCCAAATAGTAAAGAAAATAAAGTATTTAGGTATTTGGCTGACGGCAAAAGCAACCATGATCAAAGAAGACAATTACACGAAATTACTAAAAGAAATTTAAAAAGACCTGGAAATCTGGAATAGGCTACAACTGTCATTGATGGGCAGAATCAGTTCAATTAAAATGAATATATTACCGAGAGTACTATATCTATACCAGGTAATACCATTACATCCAGGAAGAGACTTCTTCAAAAATCTCAACAAAATCACAATGACCTACATATGGCAGGGAAAGAAGGCTAGAATTAAGATTAAAGCGCTACAAGACACACGAGACAGAGGAGGCCTCGCAGTACCAGACTGGGAGCTATATTATAAAGCAGCCGGATTGACCTGGATCAAAGAATGGATGAGATTAGATGACAAAAGAACTTTATATCTAGAAGGCTTTGATCTCATACGAGGATGGCATGCCTTCCTATGGGATGGACCAGACAAACAACACATGTACTTCCAAAGACACATAATTCAGGCCTCACTCTTCAAGATTTGCCAGGGAATCAAGAAAACTTATTATACTAAAATACTAAAATGGTGGTCCCCGATGGAGGCATTGATATTTCCAAATACTCTTGAAATAGGAAAGATGATGCGATACCAAGACTTACTGAATCATGAAGGAGAACTTACTCCAAGACATCAACTCCAAAATGGCGATATAAATATTGATTGGTGGCACTATACTCAAATATAGTCAAGATACAATGCGGATAAAATCAAATATGGAATTGCAAAAGTTCTGAACGAACTGGACAGAATTCTATTAGGAGCAGACCAGAAAATGATTACTAAAACATATAACTACCTTTTGAGAGACAAATTAATAGAAGAAACAGTTAAACATAATATGATAATGTGGGCCAGGGACATAGGACATAATATTCAATTGGCAGATTTGGAGAAATTATGGAAGCAGAACATTAAAATGACAAGAGCCACATCTTACAAGGAGAACCTCATTAAAATGTTTTATAGATGGCACCTACCACCAGCCCGACTTGCCAAAATGCACCCAAACACTCCGGCATTGTGTTGGAAATGTAAAACAAAAAAGGGGACATATTACCACACTTGGTGGAAATGTAGGAAAGCCCAACACTATTGGCAAGATATAAAAAATATTATTGAAGAAATAACAAACATTCAAATAGAAAACAGTCCAGAATTCTTTTTATTTGGCATGTTAACGGAACAATATCTTAAGGAAACGAAATATCTTATCATACACATCTTGACAGCAGCAAGACTACTGTTTGCTCAAAATTGGAAATTAGACCAACTCCCATCCAAAGACAAAATTATCGCAAAGATAACAGAGTGTGCTGAAATGAACAGATTGACGCTGGAACTCCAGGAAAAGGAAGAAAGCGAATACTATCTTGTATGGCACCAATGGTATCAATGGCTGGAAAGGAAAATCAGCAAAAATGTAGAGGACAGAAATTAGGGTAAAGACTTACATAAGGAGATGAACTCATAAGAAATGTAAATTTGTAGTGTAAAGTTATAACATTGGAATTAAATATTTAATAATCACTCTTTATTAAAATATATAAGCTCAACAACATATATTCTGTTGATGACAAAAACATATATGTAGAATGTTAGGTGGGTTTGTAGGTGGTGGGTTTTTTGTTTGTCTTTGTATTGTATTGTATTGTCTTTATATCTGTGTTTATATTTTAATAATAAAAAAAATTAAAAAAAGAAAAAGAAAAACAAGAACATCCAGTTGCCTGTTGAAAAAGCACCTTTCATTCAGATGCTTTTATTATTAGTGAACATGTTTTCATCAAAATTATTGCAACTCTTATATTTCTGGATTGACTTTATTTTATTATTATTGGACATGGTGCCATCAAAATTAATGTAATTTTGTTGAATTGTCCCAAACCGAGTTTAACTATGCTGAGTTGGCCATGGCAAGTTGGCTATGGTTAGTTATCCCATTCAAGCTTCAGTCACCTCATTGGATTAGTCCAGCTGTCATCTAACTCCACATTAGTGATTTTATTCTCCAGAAAAACTCAAGAACTGTGCCTGCTTCCAAAATCATGCCTGCTTCTGGGATTGTTGTGACCAAGGCCCAAGTAGTGATTACCAAACACAATTCAGTCCTCAACAAATTATTTTATTAAAACAGCTGAGAATTAATTCATTCTCAGCTTAGTCCAAAACAAAATTCTTAATAACCAGTCCGTCGGCCTTATAACCAACCTTTGATGTTTTTGGCAACCTGCCAAAGGCTTTTCTTGGCAAAACCCCCACAAAGTTCAAGAGACGCTGACAAGAAGTATGGGAATCAACATTGCTTTTCTATTCTACAAAAAACCCAATGGCTTGTTGCTGCTCTTTTAAGCCTTATGGGAGTGGCCAATCATCTTCTGGCCTTACTCCCAAGTTGTCCTTTTTTCTTCAGCTGCTCTTGCCTTCTGGTAGCTCTTCGCATGTGTGCACTAGGAACAGGCTCCTCTTGTTCCTCTGCCACTCTGCTGCCCATCTCTGGAGGCTCCGGAGTCAGCGCATCACTCCCAGATGGCCCTGGCCCATCTCTGCCTCCGATGCAAAGCCCTCGTCTGGGCCTTCCCCTGACTCCAGGACTGGCCCATTGTCCTCCCCACCCTCCTCACTGTCCAACTCCGCGGCCAGGTCTGCAGGCTGCTGGCGGACCACAACAGGGATGCTACCACATGGCTTCTATATAGGAAAGCTGAGCAGTGCTTTGGATGCTTCCCCTAGAGAAAGGTGATATTCAATAAATATCAGTGGAGTGAAGCATGATGTGGGGGAGGCCCAAGTGTGTGAGACCCAGTGGAGTGGAAAACAATGTGAGGGGTGTTTTAGAGGATTGGGAAGATCCTGTTAGCCATGCATGAGCTGGGTAGGTCTGCAGAGCGGGCCTGTGCCAGGCCTCCTGGGGCCTTCCCCACCCCATGATACCCTGTGTTCCAAGTAATGACCTCAATGTGGAAATCTAAATGTAGGCACCTGACTTAATAACTGCCATGACTTACAGCCATAATTCTGGGCTTAATTTAGGTCATAAATTGAGGGCTACCTGTAGTCTATTATTATTGAAACCTGTGGAATATAAGTGATACTTTCCATCATTCATAATTATACAAGTTTCTTTGATGCAGCAAACAGGAAAGGACAACACATTGTTGCCCCATTCATTCATGAGTCTACTGTCATGAATGAATGGGTATGAATGAGTATGAGTATGTAGAGTACTCTATATACTCTGTATGATACTATGATTAGTTGACTGCCTATATTTAGTTTTGGTTTTTTAGCACATGAATTTATATTCATTGAGCCTGTGATAAGAATGGATGATGAACTAGAAAAAAGATGTTAATTTTTGGTGAGGTTAATTGTGTTGGTTGTTCCTTGATTACTTTTAATTTTTCTAGCTTTTATAAGTGGCAGTTTCAGATACACTGTTACCCCTAACTCTTCTGGAAAGTGGAGATGATTTTCTAACATCATCACTTCTAACATCCATTCTGCTTGATTAATTCATGAAACTGTCTAATTAATTGGGGCCCTTGAGGTACAAAATGGGTTGGAAGACATTTAAAACATCAAGCACAATTGCATAAAGACTTTTTGGTACCTGAGAAAATAGGAACATTTCCCTTCCATTTCAGGTCACTAATAGAGAAAATCTCAAACAGGCATAACCAAGTGGAGCTGAGAACCCATCTCTATTTTATAGCACTCACTACACTAACAAGTAGAACATGTTACAAGTAGAAAAGATTATTGTGTTCTAAGCATTCCTAGTTGTTCAGTCTCTTATGACTAAAATACCCCAATTTGAAAGCTTTAGTTTAAAGCAAGATTTTTTTAGACATATACACAAATTAATTCTGCTATGACTTTAAATAGTTACAGTATCAATTCACTTGCAATGCTGTCACAGATGGTGAATGAATATAGAGACTTTTTGAAGATAACATAATTATTAAACATCTCATACTCTGAGGGAATCGAGGTGGATTGTCATTGACATCAGTCAGGGTGATGTTCACTGTGGTAGTTCCTGATAATCCACCCATCTGGCCTCCCATATCCTTGGCTTGGATGACCACTTGGTACTGTTCTCGATTTTCTCGGCTCATATCTGGCAAAGCAGTCTTGATTATACCTTGTGGGGGAAAATAGAGAATAGAGGCAAAAGAAAATATGAAAAAGAGTATTAAAGTGGATTTGTCCAGTTTAATATTACAGTGAGGAAAAAACAGAGGAGTCCTATTTAGCCTGGCATTAAAATCAATGTAATTATCTTTCTAGCAAAACAGAAAACAGGCTAAAATGGCTACATATGTTAGAATAAAAGGGGTGCTTGTGTGTGAGAGAGACAGTAAGTAAGAGAGATAAGTGGAGGGAGAAGGAGAGAGAGAGAGATTTTAAAGCAAATCTTAGAGGACATAATCTAAGCATTTACAATCTTCTCCAAAATCCCAGAGGAGCATGATCTATATATGAAGCAGATGTGTTATTTCAATATATAAAAACACTTTTTAAATCAATCCTCTACGTAAATATTAAGCTATCACATGAGAAAAGAGAACTATTCTAATGTACTATATATTACATATAGGATATGTAATATATAGGAAATGTGTCAATAACCATTTGCAAACTGTAATGGCACAATTCAATTTATCAATTTATCATTGTACTGTTGTCCTTGTTGCATGCGAACAATTCCTTCTAGATCATTGTTAATTTTCAGGGTGAAAATAAAACATGGGACCTGAGACGATAAGGAAAGAGACCACATGTTTATCCACCTAGTTCTACCCTTCTCCCCATTATCTTTTTCATTATTTTTATGCTGACTCAGCAATGCACAAATGTGAAAGCCAAGATTGCTATTACTCAAACTTCTCTTACTTTGTTTCCACAAAACATTGTTATATATAAAGCAGTTTTATATAAGTGACCTGGCTCAGAACTGGGTTATGTGGAGGCTGAAGACTTTGTCTTGTTTTGTTTTGGTCTTTTGTGGCACATTAGCTATTCCAAAATGTCCTGCAACTCACACAACTTAATTCAACCAGCAGCTGTAGCTTCGCATTCACCATGCTCATGTAAACTATTTGCAAATTATGCCAGAGGACCAAGTTGATGGATCAGCTGCTCTCCTGTAGTTCATGGAAAGTTTTCAGTTTGGCTTATCTAAGAGATGATTTCCACAGCCAGTTAAACAGGCTGATAAGGCTGGCATTTGCTGAAGTCTCAAAGTTGACAAACTATTGTTCCAGAAAAAACACCATGAAAAAAATTTCAGTTTGCTTACCTCTATCCCCAAGCTAAGAAGAGACACTAACAATTTTTTTGCCCAACAATATTCCACCCCATAACTTGAAATTAACAGTCAACATTCCAGCTGAACAAGCACGTATAACAGTATTTGAATAAATCATTTGAAACAAAAGGTGCAAAAGATTGAAAAACCCATTAAAGCTGTCAGTTCCTATACATCACTGGAACAATGCAAAACTCAGGTAACCAGAACAAAGCAAGTCAATGGATATTCTAACCTGTGTCTGGATCCACTGAGAAATATGGCTGACCCTGGAGGATGCTATATACAATTTTGGCACTGTTGCCATAGTTAGAGTCATCAGCATCAGTCGCTGTTACTTGAATAACAGAAGTGCCTGAATAACAACAAGAAGGGAAAAAAATGAAATTAAAGGAAAAAGTTATGTTGATATAAAGCCATTGGAGGAATGACATTATTTATACTTTAATATAAATAAGTAACTGGATCCTCTGTCCGTCCATCCGTCCGTCCATCCATCCATCCATTTATCTACCTATCTACTTACCTACCTCCCTACCTACCAGATAGATGGTTTTGATTCAGCGTGTGTTCAAGATCTAGCTGAAGGCCCAATAGCAATTATGATATGTTGTCACACAAAAAACAATTTGGAAGGAGTTGATACAGAGCCTCTGTCTGAATCAAGACCAAGTTCTGGACTGAAGACTAAGTTCTAATTGTAGTTGTTTTCCTTCAATATTAAGCGGCTGCTTTAAGAATCTGTTTTTAAAAAGTGTGGCTAATAAAATACATAATTTATGTAGCAATAGGGTGCAATATGTTTAAAACAATCTCTTTGAAACTATTTGGGCACATAACATTTAACCATTTATGGAAATCATGATGACAAAATGGAAAATGGATATAGGCTATGCATTGTTTAAAAAAGTGAATTTATTTACACATTTGATTGAAAAGACATGTCCAAACCATTAGATGGCTTTAAGAAAGTTCTGTACCTAACTTGGTTACAGACCAAGAAACTTTGCAATATAAGGTTAAAAAATATAACATAGAACAATTCTCCCACTTTCATATGAAGCAGATTGGAGATCTTTATTTCAACAATGGACAACATTTCCTCACAGCTGAAAACAGTAAGCTAGTTTAAAGGTTGTAGCTAGGTTAGGTGATATCTACAACCATCCAGAAGAGATTGCAGTAAAAATGACCAAAGGTGTATAGCAAATGTTTTCAGGCACTAAACTTAGAGACAATTCACTTTTAAAGATGTTGCTAATTTTATACTCCCATTTATTGGGCACAAAGGAGGAATGTTGGGCATCATTCCTAACTCAGTTGGAATATGGCTTAATTATGACTGTCTGCACTTTCATGAAAATAATCAACATTGTCATCAACTGCCAGGTATTTTGAATTAATTGAAGAATGATGCAGTTCTTATGAATAAATATTTAGTAATGTGGTAACATATATATATGGCTATCTGATGAGAGCTAAATAGCTTGAAATAGATCTATACTAGTCTCCCTTTATTTCTTTATCAGAAAAATATAAATTTAGTATAAAAATGGTTGGTTGTGAATGTGACTGCTTGAGGGCTCCTGGATTGGAGCTGAAAGGCGAAAGGGAGCAGTTTGCTCCCTCCCACATGTTGGGGTAGACAAGATGCCTCGATAGAAAAATACTTAATCTCTCCCTTGGGTCAAGCTGATGAAGGGAGGAGAACTTGTGGCTCAGAGATTAATACAGCTGCCTAATATGTAGGCAGCCCAAGTTTGAATCCGAGTAAGGGTATGGCTATCTGATGAGAGCTAAATAGCTTGAAATAGATCTATACTAGTCTTCCTTTATTTCTTTATCAGTGAAATATAAATTTGGTATACATACATACATACATACATACATTCTTTTATGTCTATCAGCCACCATTAGTACCCTAGAGATGGAATGAGAGGGTACAACTGAAAAGTTATTTTGTATTCCACAATAACAATGTAAAAAACCAATTAAACATTAATAGAAGCAACTAATAAAAACAACAGGAATTAAACCAATCTTATATTAAAAGTCATTCAAAGCCAAGTGAAGCAAAGAAATGCTTTTTGCTGCTTGCCTAAATATCATTATGGATGAAGCTACTTTAAGCTCCCTTGAGAGAGAATGGCATAATTGAGTTTTAGCTTCAGAAAAGAGCAAAACCACTGACCTAAAGTGGAGGATCCCAAATGAGTTGAAATATGCAATTAAACTTGTCTGAAATGGCCTGGAGAAGGCTTTTTTTTCTCCCATAACAAAAAAATGGACCCCTGAATGTATTTAGTATGAGTGATTGTCATTTTCTTATGAGAACATTAGTAATATTTTAGTATAGAAAAAATGAACAAAGTGGTGTTCAGATAAATTCCAAACCTGTTATTTTTGTGGGGGAGCTAAAGAAAAGCAAATCCCAATATCTCACATTATTTAGCAAACAATTGATAACAGATTAACAGAGCTGCAGACCTTACAGGTCATCTATAGTCTAACCCCCTGCCCAAGCAGGAGATCCTATATCTGTCTCTACCTAGGATCAAACTCACAGCCTCCTGATTGTGAGGCAAGAGCTCCACCTCTAGGCCACTGCAGAATCGTCAACTGACTTTATTTAAAGTGTAATTCTTCTGATGGTTCTATGGCTTGAGTAATTAGAGTATGAAAAGATGATTCTGGAATTGATGGCACACAGAAGTACCTAACATTATGGGTTACCCATTCTTTTAAGCCAAAGGGCACCACTTCAATTTATTGTGTTTCCCAAGAAATATTCTCACTGCATTTTTTCTTCTGAATATCAATGTTTATGGTTGAACGAAGAAGCATATATTAGAGTTGTTTAAAGTACAGAAATAGTTTGCATCTGGTACATTAAAACTGAAACCATCAGAGACAGTTATACAAAACAAGAAGGATCTGGAGGAAATTATTATAAATTGAACTAATTTACATGGAAAACATATATGGTACTTTAGGAGATTACTACTGTACATGCAAAACTTTAAATGTCAGGCATAGTTGTAAATAATAAATAAAGGTTGTGAAGTATAAACACACACAGGTATATAATAATTATAGTCCATTTGAATACAAAGCAAAAAAAAAAAAGTCTTCAGTGTTAATAAGGTTGATATGTTTATGGTACAAAGCTATTGGAGAATCTAGTTGTCTTGCTTTGGATACCATGAAGGTAACAAAGAAAACCAGTCATGGAAAGGCTGTGTAGTAGTGTTCCTGACAATACCATGGGCCCTGGTCAAGCTATGTCCTAGATAAAAGGAAATGAACTTCCAATAATCTTTTATGTCATCCTCACCACTCTCTGCACAGCCTTCCTGTCTGAAACAGTAAGACTTCCAAACCGCACAGTAACACAATATGACAGGATGCTTTCAATAGTCCTTCTATAGAAGATGATAATGACAGGGGAAGGAAGATGTGCTCTTCTCATATAAATTATTACCATAACTAATCCTCTTAATTTTTCTACCAACATTTATTGCCCACTTGGTGACTGACACCTCTAAAATGTGAATAGTCTGCAGTGAAAAACAATTTATTTGAAGTGGTATGGAAGTCTCAGAACTCTCAGTAATACCAATTTTTTAATTGCTCAATCACATATGCAAGCTACCCCATAACACAACACCTATTAAATAGCAATCATGTGCATGTAAGCCTAACATTATTCAGTAATGCATGATGCTTTGTATCCACAGATACTACTGACAAATCAAAAACCAATCAGATGAGTCTACATAGACATTGTTTTTTTAGTTTCAAGCATTGGCAACCTTATATATAAGTTGGTGTAGTGATTAAGACATCAGGCAAGAAATAGGAGAGTTCTAGTTCCATTTTAAACAAAAAGCTAGCAATGTCCTTGGGCTATTCACTATGTCTCAACCCTAGGAAGGAGAAAATGACAAACCACATTTGAAATCTTCGCAAGAAAAGTGCAGGTACTGTCTAGGCAGTTCCAGGGGTCAACAATGACTAATGTCAGGGATCCAAGTAACACAGGTAAAAGATGGCTTCCAGGTGTGACAACTATATCATAATCTCTGTTTTTTTATCTGTCTCTAGCTATCACTTTTTGCTTCTTATTTGTCCAAACATCAACTTTACCATGATCATTTCTATTTTAATTCTGATGCTATTTGTGCTAAAGCTATATTTTCATTCCAGCCACGTTTGTAGTTGAGATTGTAATTTAATCTAATGTCAACAAACTTCAAGCCCAAATTTCATGTCACATGTTCCTTTTCCATTAGTGGTTTATGATGATGGTAATGATAAAGTCAAATGGTAATTTTATAATTTAATACCATTTATCATTTACTTAAAATGATAAACTCTAATACATATGACCTGTGTTGATAGCTACTCAGGATTCAACCAGTAACGAGGACTAATTTAGCATGCTTTCCACAAAATAAAATATAATAGCAGATATGTCCTACATTCCTTAGACATCAGGTTTGATTTTCACTTTGTTTTCTTACGTTTTTAAACTGTTAAAATCAACATAACATAATTTTGCACTTGGGTGTTCTGCCCCAGCTCCGGATTTCCGAGGATATTGACACACACCAATGGTCCTTATCAAATTTATTAAATAGCAAGAATAAACAAGACCAGCAAAGGTTGGCAACCAGCCCAGAAAACAAGATATGATAAACCAAAATACTCTGATCATAAATACGAGTTGTTTCCAGCAAGAAAGCACTAGCTGCATGCGACTTAAGGGAGTGGCCAATTATCCTCAAGCCCTACTCTCAAGTAGACCTCCTCCTCCTAAGTAGCCACTCCTGCCTTTTGGCAGCCCTGCGTGCTCGAGCATTGAGAAGAGGCTCCTCCACTTCGCTCTCTCCTTTTGAAGGAACCTCTGGAGGTTCTGAAGGCCCTGGCTGAGTCTCTGCCTCTGGCACCACATCCTCTTCAGCCTCCTCACTGTTTATTTTTTTTTATTTTTTATTTTATTTTAAATTTATATACCGCCCTTCTCCCTGAGGACTCAGGGCGGTGTACAGCCAGAATTAAAAAACATGAAATACAAATATTAAAAACAATTAAAATATACTGTCCGATGTGAGTGCTGGCTGTGCAGGCTGCTGGCGCGACACCACACCAGCCTCCTCTTCGTCGGATCAGCCATGATCCGTGCAGGCCACTGGCGGGCCACAACATTGAGTTGGATTTAGAGCAGTGGTGAAATTCAAATTTTTTTACTACCGATTCTGTGGGTATGGCTTGGTGGGTGTGGTGTGGCTTGGTGGGCGTGGCAAGGGAAGGATATTGCAAAATCTCCATTCCCACCCCACTCTGGGACCAGCC